GTTGTGTACTGGGAATGTCAGCAAGTACTGTAAGTAAACTGCTGCTGTCTTCTCTTGTTCCACATCTTGGGAAAGTTTAATTCTGCTTTCTAACCTGAAGCCCAGGGAACATAATCTTTAAACCCAGTTTGGGAAGCCCCTTTTCTTCGGTGAACTGAGATTTTTTTAAATGGAAGGTGTGGTATTGGTCTGTTTTTCACACTACTTTAAGGTCACATCTTTGGGTTTATGCATATATTTATATCCATGCAACTGGAGGACATCAGCTGGTTTTAGAGTCAAAGCAACAATCTAGAAACGAAAGCCTTATATCCTAGCAGTTAGTATCATGGCCGTTTCTTCACACTACTCCCCTGCCCCATACTTCCCAAATCAAATAAACCTGGTTTTGCAGAAAGCAGACTTGAATCCTGCAAAGCAACTTTGTTTTCAAGAGCACTGAATGAGACAGATACTTAAATGCAGACATCTGATTGTAGATAGCTCTTTAAGACAGCAGGCTGTCATGCAGCAGCTGAAGCTAGCTAATTGCAGATCAGATAGGGGAAACAGATAACAGTAGTAACTAACCAGCTGAACAGCAGCTGTAGAGGATCCTCCAGTGCTGTGGTTTCTAACTCTAAAGCAGATTATCTTTCTAGAAGGAGGGCAGTAGTGCCACTTTAAGACTTTGAAAGGTTCCAGTAATACTATGGCTTGTAATATGTGATCCTCCTGACTGGCCACACACAATGGTTATTTTTAGTCTTTGATTATGAAAGTCCTGGCCATGCTCTGCTAACAAGAACTGTCCCTATCCGTAGATGGAATCTTCCTGGTGTATATTGTATACTCAGCTTTGAAATAAGCACAGTTCTGACTTGCACTAAAAAAAACCTTGTGCAGAAATTCTGCAAAACTGATGCTACTTATTAAGGCACAATAAACAGATAAAAGAAATCTGTCCTTGTGTAACAAATCTCGTTCCTCAAACCTGAGGCACAGTCCACAGATCCTGGTAGCTTAGTGTGTGAAATTTTGAGCTCAAGGATAACACCAGACTTCTGTTGCTGATTGTAGCAGGTCATCTTGGAGAGACTGGAGGAAATATATTGCATAGAGGTGCTGAAGCAAGTGCATCCCCCTAAAGATTTAACTGTAGTTTGATACATCACTTTGTGAGTAAATCCCTGAAGAGCAAGAAACCAATTGCACTGTTAAAAACCTTGTATTATAAAACAGAAGGAGTGAGAGAACTGTACCTGCAGAGGTTAATCTTCAGCACAAGAATTTAAATGAACTCATTACAATCAACTTACAAATTAGCTCATTCAAATGCAACGCTGCAGATCCAGAAGTTGGTTGGATCTTCTGTGAAGAAGTGACTTAAGAAACACAGAACAAACTGATAGTATTAAAACTCCCTTTTTCTTTCCTGTCTCATAAACCCTTATCTGGAACTCCCTCTTCCATGAACTCTGTATCAGCAGCACTTTTTGTTTAGTGAATTAAGCTTGTTTGATCCTGTGCTACAAGTGCTGTGTAATATCACTAGCCTCTTGTAATGAAATGTCTGTCTGTACACACTTGTGCCCTCCCACATGCGTAGGAACTCCGTAGTCGAGGCCCTGGCACCATGGGTCACAGCAATGATCATTTTCACTTATTACCTTGATAATGAGACTCTAACAGCTGCTGGCTGTAGTGGATTTTATTTCCTAGTGGTTAAATTCTAGATAATCACGCTACTCTACTACTGCCATTAAAGTAATGGTATTGTTTAGGGAGGAGGGAAAAAAGACTCAAACAAGTTCTGATATAATTATATAGACCTTTTCAGAATCTCTTTTATATAACTACAGATGCCAGTGATTAAAACAGGCCTTACTCTTACAGCTTTTCAGTTGGTTCTTATATATCCCAGAGGCACTCTGTAGGCAATCCAGAAAATAAAAATATAAAGAATTTACATTCCAGCTGTATATTCTGCAGTAATACATAGAATCATAGAAACAGTGTGGTTGGAAGAGACCTCAAAGGTCATCAAGTCCAACCGTATACCCGATGCCACCATATATGTGTGCACGTACATATATACACAGAGAAACTCCAAGTACAAAACCAGTTCATTGTTAAATTGTAAGCTAACCTCGACCCCTCTATCCACATGAAAAAATGCATAGGGAAAAGATAATTGAAAAATTCCTCAAACTACTTTTGAGCGTTCCAGAATCAGAAGAAATTACTCAAACTGTTGTGTCAAAGGTTTTAAGGACCAGACGCCTACAGAGGGCACCATTTGAAATGCTGTTCTGCATTTATAGGAATTGTTTTCAGTCTTTAAAAGGGATGGTGACTGACTGGACAGTATGTTGGCACAGGCATTGCCTGGAGACACTTGACCAGCCTTTTTTTAGATGCTGTGGAGCTGCAGTAGCTGTGGGGCTTTTGAGCTGGCTCGTCTGTCCAGCTGGGCTTGTGTCCACCTGAAAAGCACCATGCTGACTCAGTAACGGAGCCAGCTCCTCAGGTAGGTCCGGGTGCTTGACTCTGCTTCTGCTTATGAAAACTGTCCCTTTGCCATCGATGGGAAAGGGTATGTGGGCTTGAAAGTCATGTAAACAAAGGTGCAAACCTTACTTCTGCTGGGCAGAAAGGTGAGTCTTTAACCTTGCAGCGACTCCAATAAACCCACGCCTTTCCCCTTGAAGACAAAGCCTGCAAACCTGTGTAATGTTCTTTCCCTGCCTCCTAATCCTTTTTTTGCCACCAGGCAGTAGTCTTGCCTGACCTAAATGTGAAAAGAAGCTTAGGTGGGAAAAAAGAGACCTTGGAATACACTATTGTAGCCAGAAAATGTGTTAACTGGTGCTTTTACATTGACTTTGCTTGATGATGAAATGGAAGAGAAGACTAAAAGAACAAGCTTGCTGAATCCAAGGATGAGTTAAACCGGAGTAGGTGGAATTATACTCAGGTGGAACTGTCTCAAATCCATCCAGAAACTTAACCTACCATTCAACCACAAATAAATAGTGCTGGGTAATCAATCTGCTTGGTGAGTGATTTGATCAGGTGCCAACCTGTGCTAGGTTGTGGCGGTGGATGGGGAAACTTGAATACCTGTGACTTTCTGAAGGGGACAGTGGGAAAGAATGGTACCTTCCCCGTGTTGCCAAAAAAACCCCACTAAACCAAAAAATCAGCTGATTTTGAAATCTAGGCATTTCTCTCATGCTGATTTCTTTCTGTTCAGAGACAAGGTGTGGCATTTGGAGATTTCACTGTAAGCCTTAGGCAAGAACTGAAATCCTTCAGTATCATCACCGGCACTGTGAGCAATATTTGGAGAATGTTACTCACTGTAGTTATTTGAGGCTAAACAGGGAATTCTTAAGATTCTGTGTCTGTGTAGAAATCATCCAGGTTACAGAAGCAGTGTTGGCTTGTAGAAGGGCTTACGCGCCCCAAAGTTGATTGTTTCCCTGCCATTTATATTAACTGGTCTAGTAACAAGTCTGTTCTTATTCCACAAACCATACCTCGTTTGATGCTGACAGCTGTTTTTCAAAGCAATACTGAATGCTGAGTGGTGTCTTTTACTTAACTGTAGGAAAATGAAGCTATTCTAGCCATGTCCTTGTATCTGACCTTACTGAGGTAGTCATCTTGTGTCATCCCAATTGCCTGCTTTTAAATGAGCTTTTGTGAAGGGCTGTCCATTTTCTGTTTGGTGATTTGGATGTCCAAACCCAAAAGAATTATTTTCATAAAGAGCAAGAGCTTGAAGGAATAGAAAGTGACAGGTGGAAAATGAAATTAGGACAGAAATCTTCATTGCCCTGTCCAAAGTGGGTGTGAAGTCAGAAGAGCATTTGATACCCGCTTTGTGATCTAGCAAGGGACTTTAAGGTGCCAGGCAATGAAGGACTGTGCCCAAAATGCACAGCTGCTGTATTTTCATGTTGTGGTCAAGACTTGCTGATCCCTTTGCAAGACCATTTGAAGATCTTCCTGCTAGTGAAACCAGTGGGTTTAGAGCTGCTGTTTTGTCTGCATAAATGGGCATGTTCAGGTGACAATGATTTCTAAAACTTCACCCTATTATTTGATGTAAGGCCAGCTCAAGGCCTTGGTTTTCTCCATTTAATTTTGTGAAGCAGCAGGTCTTTCCGATAATTACCTTTGGTCTATTTCCATCAAATACTGCTTGAAACTTTGGCTTAGTAAAACAGAGAACATGCAGCAGCAGCAGCAGCTGTCATCTCAGAGCCAGCAGTGCAGACCAGACGTGTGATGTTAGGGACATCTGTCTTTTCAAATGCTTTTATACTGCTGGAAAAGGTGCTTTATTTCAGTAGCTTATAAATGTGCACCAGGCGCAGCTTGCAGGACCAGAACTGCTGTCTGTATTTGAGAGAACAGGGATACTTGGACTTGCTGTCAGGTTTGGATGCTTTTAGTAAAATCTGCAGATGCTATGTAACATGCATGTTGCTGTTCTTGTCCATAGAATTCATTGAGGAGACCAAAACCAGAGACAATTCATCTTTCTAAACCTCACTGCCTTGATTGATCCAGACACTCAAGAGGCAGGATATCTTTGCTGTCATAAACCCCAGAAAATCTGTACTACTTCATATTAAAAAAATAAAGCAGCATTGGAATTTATGAGAGCAGCTAGCGAGGCAACCGAGAAGTACTGGTCTGGGGAGCTGCCAGCCAGCACCTCAAGTGACTGATCTGACTAACAGAGACCATCAGTTTCCCATGTATATTAAGGCTGCTAGCTCAGCTTTCACAGTCATTTTTAAGGCAATAATTGTCCTAGCAAATCAGCAATATAATTTAACTACTACTGTCTAAACTAGTTTCATGGTCATCCATTTTCTAAAGTCACCAAATTTTATTATTTACCCACAATACAATTATGCCAAAACATATGTATATTTAAGAAAAAGAAACACCTTTGTAGAAATGTTGATAGTGCTTTGAAATTCTCTGTCACAGCCGGCGCTCTGTTAGACATTGCTAGAGGTCTCCCCGCTTGAATATTCTCCCGTTGTGCTGGGCAGAACAAACTTCACGTATCTCCCCTTCTCCCAGCCCCTCCTGATTCGCAAAAGTCTTTGCTGGATGCAGGGCAAACTGAAGATGACTTTTGCTAGGATCACAGTACATGGGACGAGCAGTGTGAGGGTGTAGGTCGGAGGCAGGTAGAATTTGTACTGGTTCTCATCGAAGGCCCTCGACCATCCGTATGTGAGTGTGTGCAGAGTGCTGATTACCAAGGCAATAAATCCAAGGGTGGACTAAAAGGAAGAGAAACACATGCCAGTTAACAGAGGACCTTGTGCCTGGCTATTTTCCTATATTTTTTTAGACTATTTTGGAAGTGTACATAGCACAAAGCAAGCAATGAGTATTCCTGCGTTCCCTGGACAGAATAAAACACGACTGGAAACCTTTCCTGGGTAGCGTGCCAGACTGCATTTTTCATTTTCTAATCAGAGGTTAAGTGTGATATTAGAAACTCAGCAGGAGTTTCCCAGAAGATGCTGCCAAGTCGGCTGAGAGGTGGGCTCATGCCTCCATGCAAAGCAGCAGCCCCCTGCCCCTGCCGAGCACGTAACTGCAGGCAGCTCACAAATGCTCCTCCCGAGCCGCAGCTGCCAGCTCCGCTGCCTGCTGGTCCATGGCAGGTGAGAGGCTGCTGACCGGCGGGGTGAAGCATCAGCATCGTGGCTCTGGACCAGCAGTTGGCACCGTCAGGAGTCGGTGAAACTGTAGCTTCGCTCAGAGCAAAGATACCTTCAAGTAATTGCCGTCATCTACAGGAAAACGAGATTGTGGAGGTGGACGTGCTCTGTTCTAAGGTGAGTGAGAGCCCTGAAGAGTTTCCTTCCCTCTCCTAGAGATCTGTGTTGGTTCATCAGCCAGACTGTAAGGCTGTGTGATGGACTAAATCCTTGAAATGGGGAGTCAAGAGCCCTTTATCCACTCAGGGAGACAACAAGAACCCAGCCCCTGTTCTGCAGACAAGAACTTCCCCCATTTTCGGCTGAGATCATGGCTCCCAAGCACCCACAGAGACAACATTTTGCCTGAATATTTCCAGCTCCCTCTGAGGGTTGCTCTCAAGAGGGGTTTTAAACTCTCGTCTCCTCACTGGTGGTTTCCTGCCAGCATCAGAGGTGGTGGCTCCCAAGCTTGCCAGCTCCGGCTGCCGCCGGGCACTCAGCAGGAGCTGGGTGCTCACCCCCTCAGGCATCTCGAGTACAAGCCTTTGCTGCTGTATTTTCAAAGCAAAGCACGGGTGTAACACACTGCTCTGCTGCCCTACTTTGAATGCTTGATCTAAGCCTGCAATAACCACCAAATTTCAAGATGCCTAGACAGGGAAAATTTTGCTGCTGATGTTCCTAACTTAGGGAAGGAAGCCTTTACAAGTCAAAATATCTGGCTTGGTGCAGCTAGTCAGAGATCAGCAAGAAACGCGGTCGTCTTGAAGGTATGTCCAGGAAAGAGGACACAGCAGGGAAATAAGGGACCAGGGCAAGACAGGAGGAAGGACTCATCATTTTCTCTCAAAAAAATAATCTCAACCAGAAAACTACTCAATTCAAAGCATCCCTTCCTATTTTTGCTTGCTGGGAAACTATTTAAAAACCCAAACAACTTTTTAAAATGTACCAACAAACTGGACCAAGACTCCTCTAACCTTCGGAGCTAATCATTTAGGCAGCTGAGAGGACTGGGCAGGGGAGGGAAGGAGAGCTCTAAAATGTGCTACCAGATGTAGGTACTTCACTTTTACAGCACGTCAGGCAGTCATGTGGGTGTCACCGAGTCCTGCCAAGATTTCACCCGTATATCTCCCTGCCGAGGTAGGGGACGCTTCTCTGTGTTACAGCTGAGCGTTACTCAAGGTCGTGCCAGGAGTCGGGAGCAGACCTGCGAACTGAACCTCGGTCCTGCATGCATCCCCACACCCATCCTTTCTTCCAGGGACAGCAGTCCTTCTTACCAGAAGCCATGTCCGATTCCTAAACCAAAGTGGTAACAAGCAGCAAACCTGAACAGGGTCAAGATTGGTTTCACTTGGAAAATTAAGGAGGAGTTTGCTGCAATATCCCATGATTGCAGTTGAACCTAACAGCAGGACCCAACCCATAGCTTATCCATCAACTCTCAGCTTGTCTTCAACTGGCAAAAAAAAAATCCCTGGGTGGCAAAAGGTTGGAAGTACCAGCCTGAGACTCATCTGGCAGAGCAGAGATGTAAAGCAGGGCGGGGGAAAGGGGACAGGGAGAAGTCCAAGGGCAGCAGACGCTTTCTGCCCTGGGCGGAGGGTTCCTTCGGAGTCAGCCCAAGCAGGGCTGTACGCATGGCAGAGATGTCAGAGCTGGAGACAATCAGTTTGTTCCTCTACAGTTTCTCTTTCAACCAGTGCTGGTACTTGGGGGGAAGAGGAGTGGAAATCAGCAGGACAAAAGGTGACAAACCATCACAGGCGCTCAGTGACCCACCTTTGTGTGCGGATGGCAGGGCACGTGAAACTAAAAAGTTAACTGGCAAAAAAACCTGTGTGGATAAGCCGCCGAGGGCTGGAAATAGCCTGGCAGCTCCTTAGACAGCAGCAATGGGCTGATCTGCTCGTAACACAAAGGAGGGGCTGTCTGGTGAGAACAGGGGGTGCCTGGGGGGGCCCCAGTGCTGATGCTGGCTGAAGGACCTGTGGTCAGCGGGGCCCCATGGCTGCCCCCGCCAGACAAGCTGTCAGCCGGGTATGGGTTGGTCTGTAACTGCACAAAACCCAGAAGTTTTGCGGATCGCAGCTTGGCTCAGTATGTACAGCTCAATATATACTCGGTATAGTACGATGCAGAGCCTGCTGAGCACCCCACGGGGGCTGATTTGCCAATGTGCTTAGCCCTGATACTGCACTGAGTTTTGAAGCTCTGCTCTCGTTTATCTTCTCAATGCAGTTTCTGGCTATGAAACTTTTTTGGTTTTTTTTTGTTTTAAACAGCGTCAGGGGTTTTTATTTTTTTTTTTTTTTTGCACTGTCACAGCATGGCGAATGTGGGGCCACCACCCATGTAAGGTGTTAAAACCCTCTGAAAGCTGACTGTATGAAGATGGTATCCTCCTAATGCAGGCTTTGCATATATTTTCTATTCTGTATTAACTCTTTATCTCCCCCATCTCCTTGGTGTCTGCGAGATTCCTTGTAATGCATCAGCAAAGGTGATTCTGTTCCATGTGGTTCATTTAGAAGTGCCTGGGCAGTGTCTAAAGCAAACAGCCCCTTCCTGACCCAGATATGTTTCTGACTTCTGCTGCCGTCAGTCCCATGAAGTTATTAGCTCCAAGGAAGCGGCTCTGGCTCGCACTTTGTTGACAGGAGGGTCACAAAAGGTCTGATGACAGATTCTTTATATCTTGTGATACACGAGCTAAGAAAGAAACCAGGCCAATTCAACCTTCAAATTCCAGAAGGACTTCTCAGGGTGGGAAGGTAAAGGCAATCATAACACATTTTTACTTCTCAGCCAATTACAGTTGATTTGTAAATCACTGGGGAACATTAAAAATGTTTCCTATAAGTTGAATTACATATGAATCATTCCTGTTATCCAGTGTCTGGATCTTGTACATTTTCCGTCAATCAAAACTGGACATATAGCAGAACTGTGTATCCAATTTGACTATATTTAATTGAAATTTGTGTATGTGCAGGAACTACTAAAAAAATTAACTGTGTTTTTGTTTTTTTTTCTAAAACCTTAGCAACAATCCAAACAGGATTTTCAGCCCATCAGGCAGCAGATTTGTATTTTGGGAGGGTGTCAGTATCCCATGACACTGATACAGGTGCACACACTGCTGCTGGAAAATGTCAGACTTGGGAAGCTCTGGGTAAGGAGGGGACTAAAGTGGCTCCTCAATTTATAACAAGCCCCAGCCCTCTCTCGAATGTGGCTTTTGGTACAGCACCTCTTAAACACACCAGCCAGTTCAACTCGGGGGATAGCAATGAATTGCTGCATTTTCTGGGAGACATCTGGCTGGGGTGGCTGTGCTCTGCATTTTCCCTTTTTTTCACTTTTCCCAGGCATGGGAAGCCACGATGCCTCTGATGCGTTGTGAATGGGTCAAGTGCTAGACATCCCAAATATTTGAGAAAGCATCCTCACGCTTCACCCCTTGTATTTACATTGTGCCGCTGTGCATTAATTCAGGGAGGATCACGCTGCGCTACGTGAATGTTAACCTCTGGAGCCTGGGAGCAGTAGCTGTATCTGCTCTTAATTTCCTCAAGAAAGGCATCACCAACTTAGTGAAGAGTAAATCATTTAAAAAGAGTCCTCATTAAAAAAAAATAAATAAATGGAAGCTAACATGCTAAGAGATCTGTAACCTGCTCTTTTTACAGGATCTTTCCACAGTAGGGCACAATACCAGCCATTCCTCTCCTGCATGTGACCAGCTGGGAGCTGGTGTCACGCTGTCACGCTTTATTCCACGCGGACAGAAATAGGTGTGAGTATCTTTCCATGAACTAAAGCCAGCCAGTTCCCATGTGGGGCAGCCAAGAGCTATTTTGGAGCTGACCATCACATATTTGTCTAGTCCCAGTGCTGACATACCTTTAGAAAGATGTGGGAAGGGGTCCCAAAGGGCAGACGCGACAGTCGTGTTACATGCACTGGTAGGAGACGGCAGCACTACCTGCCGTGACAACGTATATATTACATGACACAACGCCAGCACCCTCCAAGAGAGCTGCCAGGCTGCCTGGGGAGCCAAAGGGAAATGCAAGGGGTTTCAAAGCCTCCTTCCAGGCGGCAGGAAGATACTTCCCTTCATTTGGGATTCCTGGTGTGAGATGCCTAAGCCAGGATCGATTTATCCAATGTCTCAGCGGCTGCAGCCCTCCCCTGAGACACGGCAGCCAGAATTAATATGCTCCTGTTGTCCAAGCTGAAAGAGAGGTTTGAAGCCAGGTCTCCGTTCTCCCTGAGGGATGATCTCTTGGGGTCAAGCTCTCCTGGCGAGGCTCTTCTACTCAGTGTAAATAATTACTCACTAGCCCACAGCAAGAGAGGAAAAAAGACAAACTCACTTGCTCGTTTGGTGATCTGGGCACTTGTGGGGAAAGCGGGGCAGCAGGCTTCAAACTCCTGCTCTGATGAATATTGAATTATTTATATGCTGCTAAAGAGCTTCAACAGGAGAGCCTGGATGATAGATATTCACCTCCGCATCCCCGAACCCTGCCCTCCCCTTTTGAAGGGTTAGGTGTGCTCTGGCGTGATGCACAGGGAAGCTCCGCAGGGGAGATGCAGGGGGATGGGGTCCCACAGGGGCTCACGCATGTCGGGGTGCCACGTGGGTCACTGCAGCAAGATTTGAAGCCTGGTGCATACTAAGCATCAATGATGTAGGAGACACAAGTAACAAGGGGTTTTAGGGCTATGGGATATGACAGTGACATGGTGAGTGGAATTTGGCCTCAAAATGAGCTCTAATGTGCCGGGAATACTTGAAGGTTCATTCCCTGCAACCCCCGTTAGTTAGCCCTAAGCCTGGCTCCAAGCGCATCCCTGAGATCGTTGCAGCCTCTGAGTTTGGGGTTTGGGAACGTCCCACATGGTGGACTCAGGTCACTAAGGGAATTTGGCCCTTGGGAGCTTGGACATCACTGCAAGTGGGAAGAAGGCTCCTACACCACTGAATGACTTCGGAGAAAGAAAAATTACATTCCTAATTCACTTTTTAGAATCACACATGGACTTTTCATTGAAATCATACCCAGGTCTCTGTGCTTCTTGGGCTCTGGCATTTTTATAGACGAGTCTAAACCTTTTTGAAACTATCTGTTGAATATCTGGGTGCATGCAAGCTGTGCCAAACCTGACCTTCCCCTGCTCCGTCCTCCCAGGTGCTTTCCTTTTCAGAAGCTCACTCTCCCTGAAATACAAGGGCAGATCTGTCCCCCATAGCCAGCTGTCTCCATGGCAGGTTACCTGCCTGCCCCCCACACCCCCGGCGCAAACTCCCCGCAGCAGCTCCGACATGTGCATGACTCACACACGACCAGCTCCAAGAGGGACCTTGCCCATGGAAGCGAACAACCCTGCCCTCTCAAAATGACCCCAAGGCTTTCTACCTTTCTACCTTGTGTGACTTCAGGAGGTTTTTAGCTGTGAACAGCAGCGCTGCTCCCAGGAACCAAGCAAGGAGGGAAAGGACTCTGCAGGAGGGTGTCACACAGGCAAAGCCCAGGCTGTTTTTTTTCCCAGGATGTCTAACTAATGCTGCTAAATGCAGGGTGAGAAAGAACTTCAGCCAAGACATTAAAGACTCCCTCCTCCAAAGCCTGCCACTAATCCTCACATGGATGCCTGTGACACATTACATTTCCCCTTCCCCCTGAGACGGCAGCACCCTCGGCAGACCGGGTGAGCCCTGCATAAGAGCAGCACGGCCCCCCTGGGACACACCACATCCCGCTGCCCCGCCATCACCCCTCGGCGTCACCTCCCGGGTGGGGGGTCCCTGGCTCTGGGGTGCCCGGGGAGGCGTGGAGTGGCAGGGTTTGCCCCTGACACCAGTGCCCAGCTTGCAGTTGCTATGCTGGAGCAAGGGTGTGCTGGGACAGCAGGTCAACCTCTGCCCTCCATGGTCTGCATGAGGGCCTGACTCTGACTACAAAATCACTCTGGCATCGGCAAATGTTAACTTTACCTGAATGAAACTGAATTCCCTCCAGTTGAGAGAGTTTGCGATGGATGGAAGTGAAGTGATGGCAAGTAACGACAGCAAGCCCAGGGCAATTATTCCAACAGAGATATAAATCTCCATCCTCCAGACTTCCTCCTCTACCCAGATATTCATCTTCTTCTCCACGGCCTGGCATGACAACGAAGGTTTGTTAAAATGGAGCACTTAGGAATAGAGGAACTGAATATTAATCTGTATTTGTTTGGCTTTTGGAAGCAGGTTACCTGGATAAACACTGGGTCCTATTCACACCTCCAGCACTATTTGCCTATTTGGGAGGTGTGGAAATGCTCTTTTATCCCACTGCCATTTGTCCAAAGCTAGACCTGATGTGAAGCCTGCCGGGAAGAACTCCTGAATGCTCTCAGCTCCCACAGCCCATAACCACAGCAGCAAGCCCCAAAGTTGCATTTGGAAAGATAATTAGGATGAGAAGTCAGTTTAAAGCCATGAAAACAAATACAGATGCTTGAATATGCAGTAGTCTCCTAATAACCTTTGTTTTAAGTGCATTTAGGGGGGAAATTGTTCATGCTAATGGAAGGGAAGATGGGTTTTATGCTGCACGGCAAAGAGGAACATTTAGAACTGTCCTCTTTAGCCCATTAAATGGGTTTAATTTACTAAACAAAGATGTTGCTAGAAAACAGGAGGTAGAGGGGAAATGAACACAGGATGCTTGCTCCAGATTAATGTGCGACTGTGGCAATCGAGAAGGACCTGCTCAAGGCTGGCGCTGCAAGGCTGGGGATGTTTTTTGATGGATGCTTTGAATAGGCACTGCTGCCAAAACCAGCCATCCTGCTCCCCTCTGCCCCCACGGCCCCTTCACTCCTCCCTGTTGGGACAAGCACTTGGAAACACTCGGGCGAATATCCCAGTGCTGAAAGCAGACTGGTTGCGGGGTAATTCCTTGATCAGGTTCCCCACACAGCTGCACAAGGCTTATGCCACCCCAGGAGGGAGCGGGGTGGAGCAGCAAGAAGGCAGGGGCAGGAGAAAGGCAGAATCACATATTCCCATGGCACTGCCAAGGTACTGAGCTGGCAGAATTGCCTGAAGGTAGCAATCTCACCCTGGCTAAACGCTGCCAGGAGTCTCAATAAGGCAATAAAGTCCTTTTCCATTTCCTCATTCTCTTAGACTATGACCAGTTCTTCACCATCATTTTGTTAAACTCCTGGAGGCACACCGTGATGAGGACACAGCTTCTACAAAACAACCCCCCCGGATTATGACTTGGTCACTCCAGCAGGCACCTACTGTGAATGTCAGTGTGGGCAAACAGGGAGCTCCCAAAATCTAGGGAGAAAAGTTGAGGGGAACTCTGCTCCCTTCACCACTGAAGTTCTCCTCTCCTAGCACTTTTCTTGCCTCTGCCAGGTGCAGGGCAAGGCTGGTTTCAAAGACTTGTCTGTACCTCCGGGGAGCAATGGCACAGGGAGTTTCATCCTAGCCCTGGCTGTAAATGCCCGGGCAACACCCTGCTAAGATGGTTGGTCCTCGGTGCGGATGGGTGCATGCCCGGTATGTGGGTGTGCGGCTGCCCCGTGGAGGAACTGCTCGTAGAGCTAACAGCTTCTTCCCAGTCCCACACGTGCTTTGGAAAGCAAATGCAAAAGCCAAGACATTAAGCCCACTACCCAACATCTGGATGTGTGTAGAAGATTACTACAGGTGCTGACCTGAAGAGTACCCACATTACCTGCTTGACGGCCGTCTCGATTAACTGGTAGCGGTGGGAGCGACGCATGGGCAGACAGAGGCTGTAGACGGCATGCAAAGCTGCACAGAAGAAGCTGAGGAGACCAATCTGCTTTCGGTGCTGGAGCCACTGGTCGAGCCAATCTGGGAAGCGCCTGTATTTGGTGCCATAGTAGAGCTGCGAGCAGGCTGCCAGCACCCCGGGCAGGTAGACGAGAGACAGCATGACGTAGGCCACGCAAGGCAGCGTTGTGTTGACCACCTCGATGGGGATCTTGTACAACTTGTTCTTCTGCTCCCTGATGTAAGGGTGGATGACTTGCCGGATCAGATTGTAAGTGAAGAAGCAAAGAAAGAGCCCCAGAGCCAAAAAGATGGGGATTTTCCAGGCTGGCAAGAGGCGCAGGGGAATGTTCTCAATCTCACGGGCTGATGACATGCAGCCCATGTCCACAGGGGTGAATCCCATGACTTGAGCAATTTCTGCTACGGTGCGCTTGGCTTCTTGGTTATTTGAGCAAATCAGAACCTGCAAGGAGCAGAAAGATACACATAGGGCAAAGAGAGCTCAGGCTGCTGGGAACGAATGCGTCGGGAGGGATGCTGTGCTAAAGGGAGCCTACGTTATTCCACTGAGCATCATGCTTCCCGACAGGCTTTCTGACGGGAATTTACCATGGCTGCCAAAGACCTCTCCCCTGGGCAGGTTTCCTTTAATGTGTGCACCACCAGTTTGTTTTACTGGCTGTGTTTAGATAAACAGACAATTAAATAATACTTTTCACATAGGCAGAAGCTCCAAAGACTACAAAGGGTGAAGTAAGTGAGGGTACTTCATTTCTGAGCGAAGAAACGCAAAAGCTATGGGGTGGTCTCTGGATGCCACGGCGAGCGCTCAGACCCCTCCTCCTGGAGCCTAAGGCCATTTGCTGATGCTCCCAGACCTCAGCTGCTGAAACAGTTGGGATTTGGCCCTTGTCAGAAGAAAACCATACCTGCTTATTTCCATCCCTGGCACCTGACTGCAGCGTCCACGCAGAAACCACATTAAACCCCTTGACCACGGTGCAGGCTGGGAACAGGGAAGCCAAGTACTCGGCATTGGATTCTTTGTGGTGGTTGATCTCGGTGTTGTTACTAACGTCCACCAGGATCTTGCCCACCAGCACATCAGCCAGGTCACAGAGGGTGGAGTAATGTTCCCTGAAAACCGCCACAAAAATGACATCTGTCTTCTTCACCGCCTCAGCCTGGAAGGTGACTTCTGCTGCCGAAGGGAAGAGGCCAGCTTTTCGCTTCGGATTGCGGCTGCCGACCACCACCTTGAACCCGGAGCACACCAGACGGATGGCCAACGACCGCGCGAAGTCCCCGCTCCCCAGCACCCCAATGGTGCGGCCAACCGCAGGTGTGATGCTGGGGTCACCCTCTATGCTCCGATGGCCCAGGAGGGGTTTGGCCATGTCTCCTCCGGACATCCTGGCAGGAAAAAGAAGGGGAAATGCAAGTTCATTGTGAAGCTCTCGCAGAGACCCAGACCACATCCACGACCATGGGGAAAAAATGCCACTTAGGCTACTTGAATGGAAGTGCACGTGGTTTTGGTCCCAGTAGCCATCTGCCAAACCCACCAGCAAGTGTGCAGTAATGTACAAGCAGCATTGGAGAGGGCCAAAACGCCACGCTGGGCTGGAAGGCGAAGGGTTTTAGGAAGGTTTCTCACGTTTGTGTGATCCAACACCGGCTGGATGCACTCATCCATCCTTTGCTGTTCTTCATGTTGGGCATCACACTGCGAAGCCAGGGCAATGCTAACAGTGACCAGGACCAGCAACTCTCAGACCCCCATGGAGCTACCAGGAGTCTTCTGAAAAGTCTGGGGCCAGGGATCCATGGGGATCCCTGAGCCTACATTTGGAAAAGCCTGGGGGGTGCTTCTGATTTGCAGGAGCAGAATCAAGGCAGGGAGTTTAAGTGGAAATGAAAGCATCCTAAAAGTTGTAAATGAAGAGAGTTGCAGCCTTTGCCTGTTCCAATATTTGGGTCTGGCAAGTGCTATTTGCTTCAGCTCTTCAATGAGTAATGAGACCTTACTTGTGACATTTAAAAAATATATTAAAACATGATGGGATTTGCTCATGAAAGATCTTGATGAGCTTTACAAACGTTAATGAATTTTGCCCTGTAACACTCTGCTCTCCGTAACAGATTAGATATTGAGGCCACGGAGAGGTTTTAAGCAGATCAGTAAATTCACAGGCAGCACACCAGCCGGCCCTGGACATCAGAAGAAACTCAGGCAGGGAACTGCCAGGGTGCTCACGGGCTGTGCCACCAGCAGCTCAAATCTGCCTTCTGACTTAAGGAATGGCAAATTTGGCAGATTTTTAAAGGGCTGAGGAGGTGGCCCAGGGAACTTACACACCAGGACATCTGGCTTTTGTATTGGGCACACTGGTAGAGATTATAATAAAGATGGTAATTAACAAACTCATGATATATTGGGGACCAAGACAACTTGGTTTGGGCAGAGTACAGTCTTACCTTATAGCTAGTCAAGTTCTTTCAAAGAGAAGGTGGCCGCTCTGATGGGGTGACCTGGTCCCTGGCACAGACTGTTTTTCGTAGGCTTTTGGAAATGCCCTTCACCCAAGGCTTTTCTGGGATTGGCGCAGTAGTGGTGCAAAGGGGAAGGGCACTTCTGCATGAGTAGTTACCAACGGGAAACAAAGGGTAAGAAGAAATAAATAATTTTCATAATAGGCATAGGTTATCAAGGGATTTCCCCAAGGATCTGTGTTGTTCAGCACACTTATAAGTGATCTGGGAAAGGGAGTGAATATTGAGAAGATGGAGCTTGTGCGTGATGATCATTTAGAACAGTCAATCATTCTTGTGAAGCAGCTGCAGAAGGATCTCCTCATTCAAAGTGCCGGAGCACCAAAATTCACTACTGACACATGGCAAGAGCTGCCTATGGGCATAAACCCCCCCTAACTATATGTACACTTTAATGAGCTGTAAATTTGTTAAAACCACTCAGAAAAATGATCTGAGGGTCACATTACTCTGAAAATACCAGCTGGGTGCTCCCTGGCAGGCACACATCAAACAGAGCCTGAGTTACCGGGGGAGATGTCTCACACAGCCACCACGACCTCTCTCAGTCCTGCTCCTCATGGAAAGCCTACAAAACACCTTCAGCAGATGGACCTTGAAACTATAATTCACTGTCCTGGATACAAAAAAATCACGGCTCCAGTGACAGTACTGTTTCTATGGCAGAGGGCTGTCTGCTCTCCTTGCCTCTCACCAAGCACCCCTTGTCCCAGAGACCAAGGATGTGTGTTCATCGAAGAAGTGCTCTCAGGAGAAAACAAGTGAAGGGTCTGGAGCACAAGTCTGATGGGCAGCGGCTGAGGGAGCTGGGGGTGTTTAGTCTGGGGAAAAGGAGGCTGAGGGGAGACCTTATCGCCGTCTACAACTACCTGAAAGTAGGTTGTAGTGAGGTGGGGGTTGGTCTCTTCTCCCCGGTAACTAGCGGTAGGACAAGAGGAAACGGTCTCAAGTTGCGCCAGGGGGGTTCAGGCTCGACATTAGAAAGAACTTCTTCACTGTTAGAGTCGTTAAGCATTGGAATGGGCTCTCCAGGGAGGTGGTGGAGTCACCATCCCTGGAGGTGTTCAAAAAACGTTTAGATGTGGCGCTTCAAGACATGGTTTAGTGGGTTTAGTGGGCATGGTGGTGTTGGATAGAAGGTTGGTCTTGGTGATCTTTGAGGTCTCTTCCAACAATAACGATTCTATGATTCTAAGTGCCAAAGAAAGGCATGCTGACTTCTCCCCTTTAATAACACCTCTTCTCTGCTCCCCACATATCACATAGACTTTCTTTCATCCTCTAGGTGAGTAAGAGAGTCTTGTTAAACTCAGAGTCACTCATCCTTCACTCTGAAGGTTTCTGCTTCTGTTCCAGACCTGCAGAAGGGCTTGTGTGCCACAAGGCTGATTTGGTGATGCTGGCTGTGCCAGCTGGGTTAACCCAGGCTGCTGCCTGCACACACACACACCTGTCTTAGATATATTCCATGTGTATCACAGTAACGAGGATGTTTCACCCAGGAATTAGTGGGAAAACAACACAGAAAATACTACTATACCACTGTATAAATCAATAGATCGAACAGCATACTGCAGTTCTGCTCACTCCACTGCAAAAAAAGGGAATAAACCTAGAAAAAAGCCGTAGGGAAAAAAGAGCAGGAGAGAGATGACAACGGCTGTCAGCTTGGAAAAGAAACACATGGGTGAGGAGAGAGAAAGGACCACCTGGATTTGTCGGGGTGAAGAGCAACGTCACAAGTGGAGCTCAGGTTAATGGGAATGCTGGAGAGCAATGTGGGAAAACCAGTCCTCGCTGTCCACAGCCAGCTGAGCTGCAAAACCCCTACTGTAAAGTAAAGCAGCTCTATCTGAAAAGATGTCGGGTTTTTTGTTTTTTTTTTTTCCTGGCCCCTTCTTATCAGACGCTTTATCAAAAGCTCACTGCTTTACTTTTTAGAAACCTTCTTGCTCCACCTAAATTTATTTGTGGCCAGAACTGTTTGTTCTAGGGCCAATGCTATTGTTCAGC